TATTTGTATCCATAGTATGAGCAATAAATCTATTTATATTTTAATGCAATTTGTATAATTCATAAATGTTCCTAATAGTCCTTGTACAGTTACATTGCCGTGCACTACAACCTGTAGTTTACGGGGTGGGTGTGGATGTGTGCCCACCAAACCATTATATGTTTAAAGGGCAGTTTATGCTTTAAATATTTTATATGCTTACTACTGGTCTACGGCTATATATATAAGCCAGGACCATTACGAGAAGGCTAGTTTTAAATTAACATAAAAGTTAACACCTAGGTCCTAGGCTTTAATTAGCCGTTGAAATCGTAGAGATTTCTATTGCGTATAACGCGTTACAATGGTTAGTCATTAACATTTAAATTAAATTAAAAATAGTTACCAAGGTCAGCGTATATAAAATATGAAATAAAATTATAATGTGAAAAGAAAGTGAAATTTAGTTTAAATCATATTTTTTATAATATCATATATAATGCATTCAATATTTTTTAAAAGTTTAAGAAAATAGTTAATAAATAATAAATTTTAATACTGGGGCATTCAATAAGTAAGAACGCAAAATTTTGCCCCAAAATACCCCTACGGGCACAGGTATGCAGTGCTATGCCTTCAATCACTCAAACCATATGTGTTTTAGAAATTTAAATTGACCAGTAGTACTGGTCATCAAACAGACCATGGAATAAGTCCGGGTGATCATAGCTCTGGTCATCAAACACAGGGCCAACCAATTAATATTAATGTAGTTAATTATAATCAAACAAACAATCATGAAATAAGTCAACATGGTGAACATAGTTCTAGTCATTCAAAGTCAACCACAGGCACAGGTAAGCATGTTTATTTTCTATAATACTTGTATATAATTATGTGAACCATGCTAACATTTGATATTTATTACGGCTCCAAAAATGCCTAATCCAGGGTCGGGCGGTTCCGGGAGATGCCCCGCATTTCCTCAGGAAGAGGATTGTAAGGATAGCCAAGACGAATGTTCAGACCTGGGTATGCCCTGCCCTGACGTTAAATCACGAATATGTTGCCAGGGTCCATGTGCTAACCAGTGCTATTTAGTTAGGGAATTATTTGGTTAAAATATTATACATATTGTCTTTTAATTTATTTAACATTATCAAAACATTATCGATGTTTAAATACTGTATTTTATTATATTTGTTGATTGTATTATACGACATTTTATGTATTTTATATTTATTAATGAATATAAACACAAATATTATACTGTATATATCAATACATTTTACATGTGCCACCAATTTGTATGGAATATTTAAAATAATAATATTTATTTCTACCTAATTTAACAAATAATTAACTTGTTTTTAACAAAGTCAATAAACGTTTGATTATTGTATTGGCAGTGAATATGTCGATCAAGTAATATCAAACTTATGTATTTATAATAAATTAATTTAAAACATCTTACGATTATGTAATAAATAATACAATTATGAATGAGATAATGGATGCGGACATTAGGCCACACATTAGCATTAGTGCGGTTAACATACCGGCGGCCAAAGACTGGTCCGGTTTTACACATTTGAATGCATTCATAGCACTTATGGTCAGACAATAGCCGTTACTTAAAGCTAAGACTAGATTCACCGACAAATATATGTAATCATTGGTCACTATAACAGGGAATCGACGGCTTTCTGGCCATAAGTTACAGAATATATACAATGGTATGAATGCTAAGCGAATGACAATTAGTATAAATAGTTTCATTGGATTTCTAAATGTATTTTTGATACACATTGTGGTCAGACATCCAAGTGCTGAGAAGGTATTAAATAGTAAATGAGTTGATAATTGAGTCCAGTTTTGGTTCGGTATGAAATCAAATGATTGCGAAACGGGTTTAATATTGGTTTGAATGGATGGGTATATCGAGTAGGAGACCAAACAAACCAAATATATATTGAGATAATGTTTCCAACATTTGCTAAATATCTCAGATAATGACCACTCGTTTAAATCGTCAGTTTTGTCATCAAATTCTTGGCTTAAGTTTGCTTTGGATTTGCTTTTATAGTAGCGATAGAAACGCTGCAAAAAATATTACAGAATTAATTTAAAAAGTGTTCAAAACTTTCAAACTAATAGTAAATTCAACTCACGTTCAGCGATGAAGTATAGTAAGCGTCAAAACAGATTAATAATAACAGAATCGATGCCATATAATAGTAAATATATGCCGATTTTTGGCTCTCAATTAGGGATATGGATGTGATTTGTAGGACAGACATCATAATACCGCCAAAATAGATGCCAAACACCAGAATCCGGCTATAGTTTGGGGGCAGGAATGCAGTGATGGAGAGAATACAGGCTTGAAATATGCCATTCGATGCGTTCAATGCAATGATTGATAGGAATGTGAGCCAAAAGTATAGGAATTGGTATTCATTTGTATTAATAGTCGCAAGAATTACAGTCAGACTTATGACCACCGCTTGTATTACAATACTTGATGTGATTCTTCGAGTAAAACCCCAAACGGGACTAAATGTATAAAAAAGTTTTGGTTTGTATTTGTTTTTACAGACTTTGTGGTACTTTTTGTGTTATATTTATGTTTATTTTTTTATGAATAGTCAAGAATTGATTAATAGTTTTTACCTCATTGGCAATAATATATTGAATATCATTGCTATAACTGATGACATATTAGATGCGATTCCGTAATAAAATATTAAGTATTTTTTGTCCACTAAAACGGTTTCAGTTGTATTATAGTTTGTGTTATTATTGCCTTTAATCACATTATCGAGTTTAAAGTCACGAAAAAACTATTTTATAAAATAAAAATACAAATAAATATTCACTGCAATGCAAAACCAGAATCAAGTCATTGAATACACATTATATTTATTATTTGTAAAAATAAAAGGTCTGCAAAACAATCCGAAAGTATTTTATTTTTGCTACTTTTATTGAAAAGTAAAATGTTTTCAGGTATTCAATGATAATAGTTAATGGGAAATTAATTTTGAGAATTGTTTTTATAACTAATTATATGTTCAGTGAGAAGATATTCAACGAAATGCATGATTAATTGCATTTAAATTTATATTGCATTTTAAATACTTAAGAGACAAATACTAAACAGCAATTTAACTATAATTTACTGTATAAAACAAGTATAGTATTTATCAAAATCATGTGAAATAAATTACTCGATGAGATACAATATAATTATATAATTATAATTATATATAGAAAAATATGAATTGTATTCAGAGTAAACATAATTTTTTCTGAATATTTTATAACTTTATTAATACAGTATTTAAAAATGATATAGTTTAAGTTGTGTTTTGATGAAAATGTTTATTTAAAAATAATCCCAAAGCCATAGTTAAGTATAACTTATATAAACACTTACTGTCTCGGAGTTTATAAACATATTTGTGGGCAAAAACATAGCCATGGCTTGCATTAGGACTACCAGTGCCACGAAATTGAACCGATCGGACGGTTGTGGCGATACATAAGTCACAGAATAAGGTTCAAAGATCTTTGTGGACGACTTCCACGCGGGCTTTATAGCGGCCATCGGTTTGGTCTCAAACATACTTTTGTCGCAATTGTCCGAAAAGTTTTCATTTTCATACAGAGATCTCATTTCCATTGTCTGTAACACTGAATAACTTTACTTTGTTTGCGAGATATTCCTTAAAAGTTTCAAAACTTTTTGTTTATTACTCTATAATGAATTGATTGAAAACTGAGAGTTCATGAAACTTTGTTAAAACAAATACACACACAAAGTTTTTCAACACTTTATTATTATTGTAAGTTATTATTATACTTTTTTTCAAAGAATATTTATATGTTATCATAAGAGCCCGAAAACTGAGAGTTCATGAAACTTTGTTAAAACAAATACACACACAAAGTTTTTCAACACTTTATTATTATTGTAAGTTATTATTATACTTTTTTTCAAAGAATATTTATATGTTATCATAAGAGCCCGTATATTAAATGTTTTGTTGCCAACCCATTCGTACCAAACATTTTTCACAAACAAAGTAAAAATAATATTACATATGAAATCAATTCATGTATTGTTTTACATCACAATCTGTGGGCCACTAATGTGTTATTCAATCCATCAGTTTGTTTGATAATAAATTGGAGTCACAAACAAAGTGAACACAGAAAATAGTAATTCAATACAAAGTCATGTATGAAAAAAAGTTCCCCTTTTTTATCAAACATTTGGCGCACATTTTTATACTGATATTAATCTTACGATTGGAAAAAATATATACTTTTAATAAAATACTGCATAATCGGTGCATAATATATATACGAGGTGTTTGACGTGACCATACATACCGGTGCTCATGATGTGTCCCATATATAGACTACATTTGAAGTAATATTTTCTGAATTAATTATTTAATACACTTGTTTTGTATTCAATATGCAGTTCTCGATATTATTATATATTAGGGAATGACTAGTATTTTCAATTTGACAAATCTTTATATACATTGAATTTAAATTAAGTTTAAATTTTTTATTATAAAGCTATGCATCGAATGCTATTCATTATTATTATTATTATTACTGGTTCTCAAGGATTTGATTGCAAATTTTGATTTCAAGACTGGTCTCTCGTATGTCTTATTTAATAAATCAATAATAATAATATACAAGAATAAGAAATATCGAGTTATTATTAAACTATTTGTAAACTAATACTATGATTGAAAAAGTAGGCTTTTTATTGTCTCCATAGTTATTATACGGAAAATTATTAATTCATTGAAATGACTTTATTATTAACTTTTCAAATAAATTCAATTGAATAATAAGTCAATTAATATAAAGTCATTCTTATGGGCACTCGTGTGTGTAAAATATAAATACATTCTTGACATTCATTACTGTCTGGAGTTGTTGTTTGTAATGAAAAAAAGTTATTTACTTTTAGTAATAATTAAATTAATAAAATAAATAAGTTTTGCCTTTGAAAAATGTCTAAAAGTTTGTAATTTCAAATATTTAGACCATAAATTCATGATTATTTAGAGTGTATTATAATTTGTGTTTAGTTTAAAAGTTTTCATGAAAAAAAAGTTATTTTTACATTACTTTTAGAAATGTTTTTCCCATCAATTCATGAATAATAATAATTTTCTTTCGAAAAACTCATTACTGATACAAATCACGAGTGAATTCAATTATAAACTGAATATTTATGTGGCACAGCATATTAAAACATTAATTTTATTTAATTATAAGTAATTAATTAATAAATTATTCTCTCAGCGAAAATATTTTTTATATAAAAATTAATAAATACATTTTCGGCGTAAATTGTTTGTTTTAAAACACATTAAATATTGCTTAAAACAGATTATGTTGTTACAAATCACACACAAAATAGTAAATTATAATTAAAAACATTATGTGGATGTAAACTAAAAACTTCAAACTTCATCCCCAAACACTTGTATTTAGAGGTTTTCAGTGAAACATAACAACTATTATACAAAAATAAGTTTATATTTTTCTAAACATATTTTCGTAGTAATATATTTCAGTGAGTTTTACATATTTGTAGCCAACAATTTTTGCTCATCGCTTATACATGTATCGAGACTTTTCGTTCACATAATAAATAATATTTCTATTTATAAAATTTCCCCAAAAGTTTTGTTGGCATTTACGCCAATATATCATACAATAAACCCCTTTTGGTTTGCAAATGAAGATTACATTAATAAATATAAATTGTGAACTAAATCTCGAAACGCGGGATTAGTTTTAAAATTTATTTATCATTCATACCTAACATTGAATTATATATCAAACGAATTGAATATAAATTTTAAAATAAATTTTTAAATCATAAAAAATCTCATTATAATCGGTGACCTTTTAGAAAAAATGGTATATTATCCGCAACCGATAATCCCATTCACTAAAAGCTGTGAATATATTGAGTGCAAAATGTGGCAAAAAAACTGTTAATACTTTTTTATGATACAAAAAAGGTTTAGTGAAGAATAACGACCTCTAAATTGCGGTATGAATTCCTATTGTAGTGTAGCTTTCCATAGACTACTGTAATAGCGAACCCGTAGACCGTAAAACAGATTCCGAGTGACAGAAAAAAAGTTTTAAAAGAAATTTTGTTGTTTTAGTTTTGGTTAGAAAATTGAGATTTTTTTTCAATTAGCAGTTAATGGTGTCGACTATTAAGATATCAAAAACTATTCATACATTTTAATATCTTTTAATACTGTATATAGCGGTACTAAATATTTGACTGTAAATGTGTTAATACAGTATAGTGAAAACACTAAATTATCAGACTCTTAATGTCCCTGATAACTTATTTATACAGAAAACCTAGGTTGTTCTAAACTTAATTTTGTAATATTTATACAAATCAACAAAAAAGGACCTTTTGACCATTTTATACCGGTATTAAAAATTCTTATTTTATACAGTGCTGTTTATACCCGGGTATTTTAGTTTATAGTCCTTTTTATACACACTCTTTGAGCTTATTTGTAATACACACTCATATTTATAGTCATTTTACACATTTTTAATACCGGTATTTACAGCCGTTTTTATACTTACACTTAATATTATATTTAAAACTAAACTTAAAACTATAGAAACACTACTTTTAAACTTTTATTTAATGTATGAAAGTTTATACAAAATACTTTATTACAGTTAGAATTATATTTAACTAGCATATTTTAACTCAATTGTATGCTAGCAAAATTTATGTTATTTCTGGCTATACAAATAATTATAATTTACATTAATTTAGTTAATTAATAAGAAATTTATATAAAATCTTATTAATTTTTCTGTAATTAATTGTTATTTATGTTATTTATAATTGCCGTACAGGTATAAAGTAACCGTGTTTTGAGATTATGAATGAATTATTGTTTTAATATTAATAACGAATGATTTTAATATTATTTTTAATATGTAAAAGAGTTTATTAAATTAAATTAATAATAAAATTCTTTATATAAGTGGTGTTTAAATATAATCGAAATGTTTGTATAAATTGAGTTATTTATCACAAAACCCTAAGTATCCGTGATTT